CCACTACGGTACTCGCAAACATGAATTATTTGTATAACATCAAGAATTTAATTATTGATAATAATTATCTAGAATTGGTTTCTTTATCTATTTGTCTATTTAAAAAAAAAAAAAAAACTAAAAAAAAATTCTTGATATCAAGAACTTATTTCTTGATAGCTAAAATTCATGCTCTGCCTCAGGACACCCTTTTCAAGCAGGTGCGAATAGCTCTGAACTGGACTACAAGGCCTTCAAACAAGGCAAACATTTTAAAAATCTATCAAACAGCATGAAAAAAGGCCTCTTGTACGTGGTTCGCTAATGATTGTAGATACAATAAGGTGCTTCAGTTTGATGGATACGTAGAAGTGGCATCTAACCTCCATTTTGACACCGTCGAGAAGTGGCTTCATACTGCGATAGTTGAAGCTTTAGGCATAATAATGATTGGAATTTATTGAAGCCTCGTGCTTTTACTATTATATTTGTCGTTTCATTGTCAATCTTTTGTAGTTAAGTAATTATTTTGTATTATGTTTTATCATGAGAAATACAATATTTCAAAAGGGTTTTCAGTCTCATGACATGATTGCCTTTGACAATTGTCCTGCTCGAGGGAGCTTGCAGACAAAAACGAATTATCTTATTGTTTGGCTTAAACCTAACAAAAGTTTATCAAACTGAACGGCTGGGTAGACCTATATCCAGTTATTTATGGTGGGGACGGAATTCTCAACTCAATTTTTTTATCAGGTGAAAAAAAATCATTGATTGATTAGACATAGTTTGTTAGACATAGTTTCAAAAGCTGACAGTTTCTATTAACAATTGAGTATAATACAGAAGCATGGATTCATCGATTGTTTTGACCTTCTATTTATATTCTTACACTTGAAAAATATTGCTTTCAATTCAATTCAAATTCAAAAATATTGTATTTCTCATGCAAAACATAATACAAAATAATTACATAACTACAAAAGAATTACAATGAAACGACAAATATAATAGTAATAGCACGTGGCTTCAATAAATTCCAATCAGTATTATGCCTAAAGCTTCAACTATCGCAGTATGAAGCCACTTCTCGACGGTGTCAAGATGGAGGTTAGATGCCACTTCTACGTATCCATCAAACTGAAGCACCTAATTGTATCTACAATCATTAGCGAACCACGTACGAGAGGCCTCTTTTCATGCTATTTGATAGATTTTTAAATTTTTGCCTTGTTTGAAGGCCTTGTAGTCCAGTTCAGAGCTATTCGCACCTGCTTGAAAAGGGTGTCCTGAGGCAAAGCATGAATTTTAGCTATCAAGAAATAAGTTCTTGATATCAAGATTTTTTTTTTTAGTTTAAGATTTTTTTTTTTTAATAGACAAATAGATAAAGAAACCAATTCTAGATAATTATTATCAATAATTATATTCTTGATGTTATACAAATAATTCTTGTTTGCGAGTGCCGTAGTGGATATCCACTGCACGGAGGTTAGGTCACAACGAGCCGGATAATTAACTCGACAAGTCTGGTCAACTATCCGGCTCCCGTCATTTTTTTCTGCGGCACAGATTAGGGCTTTTTTTTTAAAGAGGTCTTGATTTAACCCTAAACCTAACCTTAACCCTAACCCTAAAATTTCCCATAGGCTCAACACGCACCTAACCCCAATCTGTGCCGCAGAAAAAAGATAACGCATCCGGCTCATTGTGATGTAACCAAATGCAGTGCATTATAACTAATGTACGAAGTTCAAAATAAGAGTTATTGTTTTATAGAACGGTCGATAAAAATATTACAAAGGCAAGAAGACAGTATACACGCATTCGTAATAGCAGTTATTGTTCATGCTCATTGGACTGTGATATGTGTTTCGCATGCGCTATTCATAGAATCATCGCATTAATTAGATTATCTCAAAATAAAGCTGGCACGGGGGGATTTGGGGCTTGGCACAATGGGGATTCGCCCTGTGGCATGATAAGAGCTCATTATGTGCAGTACCTTTGCTGCGCGCAGTTGTCATATTTACACGTTTAAAAAAATGCGTCGGTTTACCGCGTCATATCTCAACAAGATTTAAAGCCACACTGCACTACTTATAGCTATACTTGCTCCCTCTTTATAACAAACCATGCATAATCGGTGACCATTGGTCCCCCGTGATCCCTTTTTTCTTATATTAATTGAGAGCTGCTTTGATGAGATAACCAACCGTCCAGTGACCTTGCAGGGTAGTCTAATCCCTCCTGTTCACTAATATTGATGGGCTTTAATAGAGATGGATGTGAGACTTTGAAAAAAGGAGTTTGATTCAGATAGCGACGTTCTCAAACTATTGTTAGGTTTCGTATTTCAGTAGCATTTTAAGAAAAATTTCACTTCTATTGGCCTAAGAATTTCTCCTTTCTGCCTTTCACAAAGGAACTCATAAATTGCCATTGTAAATTGTATCACTTTTTTGCTTTTGTTGTTATCATTAGGTGATACGTACGTAGACGTATCACCTTTTGATTTCGTCAAGATTTTTATTATTTATTTATTTATTATTATTTATTATTATTCTTCCTCGAATTTGTTCGCAGGATATCTCAAGACTGAATAAAGCCATTATCATGAAACTTGCCATGATGATAGATCTTAGTCTAACTTAGAACTGCGTGACTTTTTAGAGAGTCAAAATTATCGTGACGTCATCCAGGCGCCATTTTGTGAAAATCAACTAATGATCATATCTTCATAACGGAAAAGTATTTCTCATTCATAATTATCACGATTAAGATAAATGTCCGTCCGGTCAAGTTGAGGTCAATAAAAGTGCGCAAATGCGCGCGTGCGCGTTCGTCGGCGCGTTTACGCGCGCGCAAAAATTTAAAATGCTCCAAATCATCCCAAATTTTTTTTGCATACGTTTCAGGCCATATGGAGCATTTGATAAAAAAATTACGCACACGCGCATTCGCGCGCGTTTTCGCGCGTACTGGCATTTTGCAACATAGAATCGCCGATTTTGTTCTGTCATCATATTCGGTACATTTTTCCAAGCATTTTGATAATTTGTTCACCTTTTATTAACGCAATGAGCGTCCGTCAAAGTTGACAGCACGCGCGGATTTGCGTTATCTTTATCCACAATACATGGGCAAAAACATGCCTATATAAAATTCATTGTAACTCTTTAGAATAGATAGAAACTTCTAATATTTTTTCATATTTGGATAGATTATGAGTCGGAGATATGATTTCATGTCTCATTTTATCCTCAATTAACTCATGACGTCATCATAATGGCCTCCAAACTCAAAATTTCAATTTGCATATTATGACGTCAGCATATTTTTGGAAAATTGATTGTATCTCTGTAAATATGGATCAATTTTCTTTTTAATTTTAATATGTTCTAGCTGAGAAAATTTTCTACAAATGTAGTTTTCACAATTGTTATTTTTGACAAAAGTATCATAGTGTATTTTTGCGATTAAAGGAGGCATGTCAATTTTTCGCATTTTGCGTGTATTCTCTGAGGGACATGACTTTTTCTCAAAACTGGATTCTACACTCCTGTCTTTCGCGAGCAAAATCTCCGTTGTTTTAGCTTTGTTTTCGCTGAGCTTTGGATATGTTTTAGCTGAGACAATGAGCTATCAAAAGTGTGCCTTTTATTTTTCGATTAGATGCCGGGATCATGCTCATATTTCACTTGCAAAGTAGGATTTCTGAATTCCATTTCCCGTTTACGTGTAATCGCTATGGGAGATGTTTTGGTATATCGGTAACGCACTTGACTTCCAACCTCGAGATCCCTGGTTCGAGTCCGGGTGTCTCCAACACTTTTTTTTCTTCACTTTTTTTTCCTTTTGACCTTCACTGTACCATCTACTTTGATTATTTAAACACGTAGATTCGCAAATAATGTCATAAATAACCCTTTTTACTTTATTATTACCCTATTTTCACTTAATCCATTACTTTTTGCGTGTAATCCCTATTGGAGATGACTTTTTCTAAAATCTGGAGTCTACATTCCTGTCTTTTGCGAGCAATATCGCCGTTATTTCGGCTTGGATTTTGTTGATTTTTGAGTATGTTGTCGCTGAGACTATATGCTATCTAAATCAACCCTCATTTTTTCAATAAGATGTCATGATCGCGCTCATGATCATAATCATGATCATCACGATCATCATTATCATAATGATGCTAATCATTTATCAATTACATTTTCATTTCTTTGAATAAGATAAAATCGTCAAAAGGTGTTCTTCATGATGTAAATTAGAGTCAAATGTGTAACTTGTTACTGCACAGGGTCAAAGGTCATATATTGTTTCAATCTATCTTCCCTAGATCCATGATGATCAAGGAGACACAATTTAATCTTGACATATGAATAGATCATAATGGGAGAAGCATATGAATGGGAGAAGCATTTTACAAAATAATATATCGTGTAATGCATTATTCGTTATGTAAACCATTATCATACGTATCACCTAATTCGTCTAAGTGACGAATTAAAGTCTAGTTTCATTCTATATTTGTATTTTTTTTTAAACTTTATAATGAGTGTTGAATAAACTTTGAATTTGAATTGAATTGAATTGGTTTTAAATAAGAGGCGAAAACGAAATTCCCGAAAAGGCAAATATAAAATTCTGTATTAAATTAAAATGTATGAAAATGTTTGTGAAAATATATATCTTTGGTGTCATGGAATCTTCGTAAATATATGCAAACCATATTATCAGGGGAAGAAACACTTACTTTGCGTGCAGTTCAAATAAAGTTACAGGACAACACCCTAGGCTCACTATTAAAGCAAATGCGCTAAGGTTAGTAAAAGACTCAATAAAAAAAAATAAACAAAATCGGTTCTTCCGTGAATCTAGCAAAATGGAAAATTGACAAAAAAGAACCTTTGAATAAAAGTATATTCCACGAATTTCCTTAAGCTGAGTGGAGTTATCCAGAATTATTTCATGAAGGTAACTTTTGATACTTATGACATGTAATAGTTTTTATTTACGAAGACAGATGGTTGGCCGTACCGCCTACTACAAGCATGGAATATTAAATAACGCTCTCAAGTAAGATGAACAAGTTACATAATATCCAATCAAAGCGAACCGATTAGAGCGTTGACGAATAGCGAGACAGCAAGTCAGTCTTATGATTGGAAAAGAAAAGTATAAAAGCTTAGAGGATACGACGTGACACAGAGCTTTTCTGTGCTTCTTTGATCAGCTGTACCGTCTCCTTTTAAAGAGTGCATGCAGCTCCGGTGCGGAAAAGGAAGAGAGTATCGGGGATTTGAGGAGGATGGAGTTGACTTCTTTTCTTCTGTGTGTCTTCATTTTGAACGCATCAGGTAAGAGTAAAAAATGAATCCGATATAAGCAGCTTTCTATTATTCTAACCCGTTGTAAGCCATTATAAGATGACTGCGCTCTGGAAAAACTCTAGAACATGTAAGTTTGTGTTATAAAACTGGTGTGGACGGTTTATTTTTAAAACTAATCCTCTCTTGCTCTCTCTCTCTTCACATTCTGAGATTTTTCACATGATTCATTATTCTTCAAATAAATGATATAACATAGTAAGGTCTTTATAAAGACAATTATATGGTGCATTTACAATATATTGGGCTCATTGTATTGTTAATTCATGCCCAATAATTGGGGCTACAGGAACTCAGCGAAAGTTATAATTTGTGAAGTAGGCAAGTGACAGGTTGAAGCGATGTACAGTGGCCTAGCTACGTGGGGGACGTGTCTGCAATCGAGATCGGGGGATCAGAGATGAAGGTAAAAGAAAGTGAAATAATATAAGGAGCTGGAAAACCCTCTTCAAAGATATTTATATTATGTGAATCCGGAACGTGGGGATAACGTGATATGTCTTAAAAGAAATATGTTGTAACAGGTGCATAAGACGATTATCGAAAATACTTTGGGATGATCCGATCTACGTCCTTAATGTAACGTACAGCTGAGACGAAAGGGAAACGGAGAAGACAAACGGGAAAAGAGACAGAGAGAGTATGTATTTGTATCCGATTCACTTTCAAATGCAAACATTTCCCTCTGTAAACGGGTAAGGGTTATATCCCCCTTCTGCCTTTAGTCATTCTGCCCCCTCAAAATGTGACCATCTAATACAGCGTTTTTCAATCGGGATGCCGCGCGAATATTTGTACATATATCAACAAATATATGTTGGAATGACGTCCAATTCATGTATGACCTATCAGAAAATGCAAGATGCCCAAATATCCGCTATAGAGATATCTCATTTAGTTTTTTAAGGAGGAAGTTCCTCTTAAATACACTTCACTATCTCTGAAATCTTGTGTTCAACACAAGATTTCAGAAATAGTAAAGTGTTTGTTTTTTCTCCCTTGCCTCGCTCACTCACTCGAAACGGGTTAGTTTCAGGCGGCGAAATCCATGAATATCCCCTTTCAAAGATATCATGATACTGGGGCACTTCGCTGTCAGAATATCGTCATGATTCGGGCAGCATGGCCCCCGAATATAAAGTCATGTATTGTATTTTTTATATCGAAATCAAATTTATACCACAACTACAAGTGTAACTGTCGTTTTACCTACTCGTTTGCTTCACTTCTCGCAAAATTGATAAATCAGTGTGATTTCTGGCAAAGAGATGTCCAAATATATATATTTTGTTTTTATTTCATCTAATGTACATTGATGACTAAATAATTTTTCCGATAGCTCACTTCACTCGCTCGCACTATTAAAGATCAGGATAGTATATTTTAGGGCTCCTTATGTCCACCTATAGCTGCGCCACTTAACATGGTAAATGTTAAAAAAACGAAGACAATAGTTTTCTTTTGTTATTCAAATATTAAATGCGGCTATGAAGAAATACAAGTATTTAAATCAACTTACCAACGATTCTTATCATTAAAGGTGATGCAAAGTTTTGGGAATTTTTTTTAAATTGGCTGGATAGTGATTCTTTACAATTTTGAAATATTTAGAAGGCCATGTGAAGTATTATAAGCACTAGAAAATTTAGCCCCTAAAATACTTCTGCTTTCGAGAAAAATTGAATATCAAAATTTACCGGTACTCCGGTAAATTTCGATATTTTCAAATGAAAGATGAAAAATATCCAACATTACGAGAAAATAAAAAAGGGATTAGTAGCTGTCGGTAAATTTTAAAATCATTTTATAGTTTAAATTTCATGCACTGGGAGTAAAGACAAAAAGAACCCATTTCAATCTACTTAACCATTAGTTGACGATTTATGTGATCAACTCTTCCTCTCTCTCCGACCAGGTTCGCTCGGTCTACACACTAACTACGATGGCACCTATATCACAACCCTGGTCTCACCCGACCATCCCGGTATCTATCCTTCTGACACCCAGATAGAGTGGAACGTTGTGACCGACCCTGATCAGATGGTAAGCATACTCTTTCATCGTTTCTAATTATGTTGTCAGTATTGAGGTGGTGTGTCTCGACGTTCGGTATTTGTTAAGGCGTATTTTAATTATTCCCCGAGTTTAACCCCCGAGTTATTTGATTTGATTTGATTTGATTTATTGGTTAATGCATCTTTTTTCTTTTTTTAATCATACATTTTCATGAACATGATATGGTTTGATACAATACTTTAAGTGTATACAATTTTAAACAGATAATAAACGAAACTAAAGAAATATATTGAATGCATATTTAACATACATTAAATGCAGGAGGGCTAAAGAAATAAGCAAAGTAACTTTTCACTGGTACGTGAAGCCTCTACTGTTGAACCCCCCCCCCCCTCAAAAAAAAATTGTGGGTGTGTTTTGGAGGAACCCCCCCCCCCCTCAGGTTTTTGTTGTGCTAATGGGTGACCAAAAAAGGTGACCCCCCCCCCCCCTCCCCCCCCCCCCCACCAACGGAACAAAATATCGATCGGAAAAATGTTCAAATTTCAGGACAAAATAATTGTAACGACTCAACCAGTCGCTGAATAAGCGGGGGGGGGGGGGGGGGGGGGGGGGGGGGGGGGGGGGGGGGGTAAGAGGACACTTTTTTTTCGTCCCCCAAAAATCGCAATGCCGTTGAATAATCGGGGGGGGAGGGGTAAGAGGACACTTTTTTTTTTTTTTTTTGTGTCTCGAAATTTGAAAATTTGACATTTTGCTCCGTTGGGGGGGGGGTGGGGATAAGGCCACCTTTTTAAGGTCAGCGAGTGGCATAATATATATATTTTTTTTTTTTATACAAAAACACACACACACACACACAAAGGGGGTGGGGTGGGGTTTGCTCCAAAATACACACATACAAAAATGAAGGGGGTTCAACCCCCCACCCCCCCCCCCCCCACTCCGCCTGCGTATTCGCATGATGGGTGGTGTATTAACTGATTGTTTATCATGGTTTCCTAGTTACTTCAAAGGTCGTCGTATATGTACCAAATTTTTAGCTCATTTACATCATCAAAGTCGAATATAGATTACGGGGTTCCCCAAGGATCTATGTTTGACCCGATGTTTATAATTTACATTGGTGAAATTGTAAAACATATAAAGAAATGCTCTGTTCACTTATATGCTGATGAAACAGTAATTTGTCTCTCACACAGAAACGTCCTCAACTTTAGAGTCCGTATTAAATTCTGAACTTCATAGAATATTTAATTGGTTGTGTAACTCCAAATTGAGCCTCAATTGTGAGAAAACAGTAAGCATGTTATTTTGCTCAAACGGAATGTTTACTAAATGTAGCAAGCTGAACTTGAATGTAAATGGGTAAATATATGTCATGTTTAATGTACGAAGTATCTAGGTATGTTGTTAGATCCGAGTTTAAATTGGAATTTGCATATTGATGCCATGTGTTCTAGGATAAGTAATCTCATACGCGTATTAGTTCGATTGCGTCATATCATTGATCTATCTAGTATGAAAATGATGTTTACTGCCATTTTTCTTCCTATTTTTGACTATGGTGATATAATATATGGAGCAGCCTGTGCTAAACATGTCAACTGTTTACAGAAACTTCAAAACAGGGCATTTCGAATCATATTTGGAATAAGTCCCTGCAGTCATTTAATCAGGGAATTACATGCTCGATTAGGCTGGAAATCTTTAACAACTAGACAAGGCCTTCTGGCGCTTGCGGTCAATCGGAGTGGCGCGCGGCTTTTCCAAGAAATTAATAAAAATAATTAAAAATTAAAAATTAAAAATTAAAGAAAGAAGAAAAATTAAAATTTATATTTTAAAATTAAAAAACTCAGCAATATCAAAAAGTCGCAGTCGAAGTTGAGCCCAAAATGTAAACAAGCCATTTTGTTTGTTTGATTTTCACTTGATTTTGACATTTTTGTGTTTATTGCACCAAAATAACTACATATAAATTAACTTCCAGTGTAGATTTTAGCAAGGAATTATACTGATTATTTCACATCAATATGAATTATGATTGATGTTTTATTGAACAAAAAGGTGTTAAAAATGCCACATCTGGGCCTTAAAAAAGCCCTAAAATCCACTAGCTTCCGGGGGCTTCGCCCCCTTGGACCACATCCAGAATCGGCTCGGTCGCTACGCTCCCTCGCAACACAGTCACCAAACATAAGGTTGGCACTTCAACCTCAATCCATTTTTGTTTTGGCACTTCTAATGAACTAGTTGAGAAGGCCTGCTCTAATGTCTCATCAAAACCTATTATTGGCAAAACCCATAACAGATTATTGTAAACGTACTTTCTCTTACAGAGGTGCTATTCAATTCAATAATTTTTCATATTTTTAGTCACGTGTTTCTCACGACTCAATATGTATATAAAATCATAACAATAATATTGGACCCCATGAAAGAACAGTCTTGTATTTTTGGCTGGAATGAACTGGGTAACCTTCTTACTTCATTATTGTCTTCTTCTTCCCAGATGTGGGATTTTTAACACCTTTTTGTTCCATAAAACATCAATCATAAATGGCTTGCTTTCTTCCGGGGGGGGGGCACAAAATGGCATGGGGTGAAATCAATGGCGTACGCAGGATTTTGTCAAGGGGGGGGGGGTTAACAAATTTAAGTCGGGCCGAAAATTTCGCAACGACTCAGCCGGCCGCTGAATATGCAAGGGTGGGGGGGGGGGGGGGGGTAAGAGCACATTATTTTTGTTTTGCTCCCGAAAATTCAGAGAATAAATAAATCATAAACAAATCCTCTGTGTGCCCATACCTTGAGCCCTAATGCATGGCCGTCCAAAGGATTTGTAATGTTTGGGACCAGGGAAAAATGTAATAAATTATTGAAAATTTATTGCATTTTCTGTTTTTTTTTAATAGAAACTGCCCCCTACCCTAGCCATCCCCCCCCCCCTAGCTGCGCACAGTCACGGTTCAGTAACAAAGCATTGGCCTCGTTACTGTGAGGCCCAAGGATCAAAACCGTGTCGATGTGCTATATTAGTGCCCTTTCGTGGGGCATTAATCCTCATTATAATGTTATTTATGACTTAAGGGCGTAGGTCCCCTAGTTGATAAGCATAGTAGCATACACATGCTTTAGCAGTCACGCAAAACACACATTGGCTATTTATTATTCAATAACATCTGAGAATGTATACTTTTATCTAGATCTATTATTTTTGAATTATTTTTAAAATAATTCCATATATTGGGGTAAAACAAAAATATTCCAACTATATGAGCGACAGTGTATATCAAATGATAGAACGGCAAAGTAATGTGCAGGCTAAAGGCCTTATATTTATGACTTAAGGGCTTAGGTCCCCTAGTTGATAAGCATAGTAGCATACACATGCTTTAGCAGTCACGCAAAACACACATTGGCAAATTATTATTCAATAACATCTGAGAATGTATACTACTATCTAGATCTATTATTTTTGAATTATTTTTAAAATAATTCCATATATTGGGGTAAAACAAAAATATTCCAACTATATGAGCGACAGTGTATATCAAATGATGGAACGGCAAACTAATGTGCAGGCTAAAGGCATCTCTAACCCCCCCCCCCCCCCCCCCCCCCTCAGCGCAGCAAAATTATGCTCATACGCGCGCCCATGCGTACAGCAGTTATCAGCAATGGTCATGATGTATAATGATGGGCATATCATCTATACAATCCCTTAATTTGTGTAAATCTAGTACATGTTTTTCACTTTAAAATGCCTAAAGATTAGACTTGGCGAAATGAATGATTTAACAAGCACGTGATTGTAATATGTGCGCAGGTAGTGATTGACGTCAAAATACTAGATATTGAACATATCTGGGATACGGTGCATATTCATCACGTGTCAACTGATGGGATGACTGCTACGAATCTCTCATTGGCTAGCAGTTCTGTGACGTCACTTATTCTACCGGGAGGATCTACGGTGGTCAGCTTCTGTAGTGACGTTATTGAGCAGCGCCAGGGCTTTGTCATGGAGTTTACGTCATACGATTGCGATACTTTAATTTGCACCTTTAATTTCTGCAAAAATTGTACATTATTGTGGTACATGACGTTTTATAATTTCCTTGATTGTATAGCCCAAAACAATATTTACGCTCTATTCATATGTATATTTTTGTTATATACAAGAAATTGCTGTCAGATTTACCTTGAACAATTACACATCTCTTCTTTTTTCTTTTTAATTAGAATTTCTTTGAATGAGACACCGTTGGATCAATTGAATAATGACGATTTATGTTAATTGTGTTCTGGTTATTTTAAGTTTTAAGTTTTTTCTGCATACAAATCTTAAAGCACTCTATTCATTGCAGCTTCATATCCTCTTAATGCATTTATCGAAATTTAATTTAATCATGATTTTCTGAATGATTGTTTGTAATTATTTTGTATACTTATATAATGTGAACCTTGCAATATATTCTATTATGTCTCGGAATGGCATGTGAGGGTGCACATGCCCCCGGGCAACAGGGAAGAATTTCGCTTTTGTGCACCCTGACCCACATGCTATTCCTTCTTTATCTTACTTTGTATTTTTCCTATTTCACTCTGTATACACCTATATACACTGTACATGCTGAATGTGTTTTTATGGTCGAATAAATAATAATAATAATAATAATAATAATACTGGTAAGAGCATGGGTGCATATCTTTTGAATGATTAAAATACGTACTGGAAATGAAAGCTTGTAGCCGGTAGTATAGTTACAGGGGCACTAGGCTAGTTCCCTCACATCAAAAGACAACAAAAAGATAAAGTAAGGGAAGGGGAGTTGACATGAACAAGATATTTTACCAGCTTCTTCCACACCTTATACCTCAATCGATTACCTTGTAATATGATATGTTATTCATGAAGTAAGTCTGGTAGCGCTGCCCCCCCCCCCCAATTTAACCAGTGCCCCCCTCAATGGGTGGGACAAAAAATAAAACAAAACAAAGTGTTTTTTAAAAGTGATACTTTTAGTAATAATTATGAATAAATGAAAACTAAATAGGTTGAGCTGAACGCCAGTGGTGTAGTGTTGGTCCATATATTGAGGAGCGAGGACCACGATTAATCTGACCTTTGATTAGGAAGTAGCTATAGAGTGTCTACTTTTCATCTGCCCTTCCCCTTTCCCCGTTTTCCCGTTTCCTTCTCTTTTCTTTCCGTTCAATTAGGGGTAAGAAGTCCTTATTGCTCTTCCCCCCCCCCCAACGGCCTGGTTCACCACTGCTGAGTACAAATAAATTAAATTATCACGTATACCATGGACTTAATACAGATGGACATTCAACGTGATTCTTTCTTTGATCCAATCATAGTCGCCGCCTTCTAATTATGTGCATCTTAATGAGAACATTCAGCTGTTTTAACAATAACGACTGCGTAAGCATTTTCGGTCATTTACAAAGGAGCAGTTTCCCTCTCTTGGGTTTTGTTTGGATGGTGTGCTCTGTAAGAGTGTGTCTTAAATAAAAGCATCCTCAATGGGGAGCAGCAAAGTTGAAAAGCAGACGATTTTGGTGATATCAAATGTATTATTACTGATTCGCAAACTTTCGCACACACCTATGACCTTATAAAACAATTAGAAGGCCATGATCTGTATCAGCCCTGTGCGTTGTAACTCTGGAATATTATGAGGAAATAGGGGGAAACGGGATTTTAAATCACAACCAAAAAATCAAAAATAACCTCTATCTGGTAATATCAACATGTTTTTCCAAAAAAAATACATGTACAGTACACGGAACAACAATCTCCGATTGTAAGCCAGAACTGCACATCTATTTTCCTTGATTTAGGCGAGTAATTATCTTCTGCGCATGTAGATTTACATGTATAAAATCACTATCTTGATTCTGTCCCGGCTTTTTGCCGGCGACCATGATGAGACCAAAGGGAAGAAACATGTACGGAATGTTATTGAGACGACATTGACGGAGACAATCACAATGAATTCGTTAAGAAAACGATGAATGTCCATCCGTAATACGTCCATGCGTATACGTACGGGTTTATTTTTTGTTTGACCTGACTGTTGATAAAACATGTGTTTGCTTGTAAATAAGCAACCAGGGGACCAACGGCTTTGAGATCTTTCTAAGTGACTTGATAATGAGGATTAACGCCTTTCCAAAGGGCACTAGCATATCGACTTCGTTTCGAATCCGGGACATCCCGGTTACGAGACCATTGCTCAACCACTAAGCCATCGCGCCTGCACAAAAAGACATGATCAATGTATTATCTACATGTACTAGTAATTCCGTTCGTGCTTGGTTATATCTATAGAAACATCAATGGTTGACACAACGGGAGAGGATTTCTACTGTCACTCTGGTCATCAATACATCCGGGTCAGTGCAAGATGTGATGGGATTGTTGACTGCCCTGACTTCTCAGATGAAATTGGATGTGACGGTATTTATGGAAAACTCTTTCTAAAATAAAGAAGGGATATTGTTCGAGAAATATATGTGTCAAACAACAGTTGAATAACAGCGTGTATTTTATTTATATGTGTTCTATATCTATTTAGTTCTTATGCTTATGTTTCGGCATCATGCATACATAATGAATTTGAACACAAGTCATGATCAGATAATGATTCTGGGTCCAACAAAGAAATCGAAAACTTGGTAAACCCATGGAAAATGAAATTTCTTTCAGGTCATAATTTGTTTTCATTAGATTAAACATTTGTAAACATATTGAAAACATAAATGATGTGAAGGATGAAAAAGTTCGCCTTTAAACAAGACTAGTATGCGTGGATATTTTGTTAACCCTTTTATAAACTGTGCCAAAAAATCAGTTTGTGCAAGAAAATGATTAGGTAAGGGTGGACAAAATAAAGAAGAGAAATAAAGTAAAATAGGACTATTCAGAGTTGTGTTAAGGCAATTTTGAATGAAGGGGAATTTGACAAATTAGGGGGTGGGAGGGGGGGGGGTACTTAAAATTGTTGGATTTGCAGGATTAAACAAATACCAACATCAATCCTACCGTGACTTAGTGATCCTAATTTCACCACGCTTCTGTTTTCTTTCCTCTTTCTCTGTAATAATACCCAGAATGTAGTCCCGGTGCATACCAATGCAACGGAATTGATATTTGCCTCCTTCCCAGATTGCAATGCGATGGAAGGATTGATTGCCCACACGAAGACGATGAGATGTTTTGTGGTAAGAAGTTAATACACAATGGCCTGCATTCTGCTCAAATTTAAACCCATTGCAGGGTCTATATTCGTGTCTTACCAAAGGAAGTTATACAAATGCCTATTTTTTCCTATATTGAAATATGACGATTTAACCTAATAAAGAGAATGTGGAAAACTGACTCTTTCATTTTTGGCCTAGAGTTGGGGTTCGAAGAAGTCATGATTTTTCAAGGTAAACTTCTTCTTTTTTTTTTTCTTTTTTTTTTTTAGGGGGGGGGGGTCATTATATGGCTTTACGCTGTAAGTCAAAAATAATAAAATTAATAATACCTGTTTTGTAATTCTTTTTTGTAATCGTTTCTATTCTCCATTTTTATAGTACCACTCATATATATCTATATACAGAGATACTGCGTTGCCCGGCTAATTGTTCTTGCGGCGAGTCTCAGGAGTACGTCGGGAGCCCTCGTCTCACTGCACCAAGTGCACCTCGCTGCGGCGAACCCGACTGGTTGCCTTTTTGGGTGAAATGCACGGACGGCTGGAATGAAGGCTACGCGAATGCAACAGCGCCAAAGGCTATAATTATGTAAATGAAGTAGAATAAAAACGATGGCAAAGACATTTCAAGAAATGAAATTAAAGGCAATTTGATTACCCTCCTGTATATTGCCTTCAGAAATCAAGGTCGGATCGAGTAATATGATTATGTCATTGGCACATTTCAAGGTAATAGATGAGGCTATTAAAGTTGACTTTGAGTGACTTTTCGGAAGTCTTTGTGATCGTGGGATTGAAGGAATTGTAGGGATAAACAATCATGTATGGAGGGGGTAGAGACAGAGAGAGATAGTGTGTGCGTGTATGTGTGTGGGTGGATGCGCGCGTGTGCGTGTGTGTGTGTGTTTGTGCGCTCGTGTTTATGTGTGTAAGAGAGAGACAGACAGACACAGAGAGACAGACAGACGCAGAGAAAGTGAGCGAGAAAAGAAAAAGAAACTAGACATATAATACTTGTTTGGAACAAGTATAGATGGGCTGGTCAACTAATATTTGACACAAAATAGAGCAAAAATAAGCGAGATACTGTTAAAAAACAATGTCATGTAGATTAATGATGTGAACGAAATTCACCTTCCTCAGGCATAACACGCAACTTAAGAAATTTATGATATGTGCCCTTTAATCGTAATTTTTACTATGATGACGTGATCAAAATGAAAAATGGTGATAACTGAGCTTGTAGAGAATTGTCTTAGCTACAACATATCGAAATTTGGAAGAAAATCGATCAACATTTACAGAGATACAATCAATTTTACATAAATATGCTGACTTCATAATATGCAAATTCGTATTTTGAGTTCCAAGGCCATTATGATGATGTCACGATACACTTAATGGCCAAATGAGACATGGAATCATATCTCCGACTCATATATAATTATGAAGGTCACTGTGCATTCCAAAGAGCTATAATGGATTTTGTATAGGCATGTTTTTGCCTATATATGCTATGTATTAAAAGAGCTCGCGCGCACAGAAATTTATCTTGAATTGAAGCTCATCTTGTTATTAATGGTCATAAAGAGATAAACATGGTATCAAATTCCTCGAAAAAATATGAGAAATATCATGAAAGAAAAAAAAATGGCGATTCTATGTTTTGTAATAGTGTTACGCGCGAAAACGCGCGCGCATGCGCAGGTGTGCGATTTTTTATAAAATGCTTAAAATGACCTGAGACGTTTTTGAGCATTTTGAAATTTTGCGCACGCGCGCGTTTTTTGAGCTGAAATTGACCGGACCGATATTGACCTTGATCGTGCAAAATATGAATAAGAAATTACTTTCCGTTATGAAGATATGATCATAAGTTAAAATTCACAAAATGGCGCCTAGATGACGTAATCAGTCAAGGTCAAGGTTGAAAACGTTATTTTGATTTATTTATATGCCTATACATATGTGTGCCAAATTTATCAAGTTATTTGATTGAACCATTTCAAAGTTATCTTGCTAACAAAAAAGTGGGTCGAAATAAGAAAAATAAACTAGATTTGTAATACTTGTTTGGAACAAGTATAGGTGGGCTGATCCAACAAAAAATTGAGACAAAATATAAGGTACATTTGAAATAGCTTTTTGCCTCAGCTACAACATACTCGAAGTTCAGCGTAAATGAAGCTAAAACGACGTAGATATTGCTCGCGAAAGACGGGAATGTAGAATCGAGTTTTGAGAAAAAATCATGTCCCATAGAGAATCCGCAAAATGTGAAAATTGATATGCCTCCTTTAATCACAAAAATACGCCATGATACTTTTGTCAAAATTAACAATTGTGATTACTTCATTTGTAGAAAATTGTCTCAGCTAGAACATTTCAAGATTTGGAAGAAAATCAATCACTATTTACAGAGATACAATCAATTTTCCATAAATATGCTGAGGTCATAATATGGAAATTGAAATTTTGAGTTCGGAGGCCATTATGATGACGTCATGAGTTAAAGGTAATACAAAGTTTTGGGAAATTTTGAAAATTGGGTGGATAGTGAATCTTTACAATTTTGATATATTTGGATGCCCCTGGGGATGAATTATAAGCACTAAAAAAATTAGCCCCTAAAACACTTTTGTTTTCGAGAAAAATTAAATATAAAAATTTACCGGTGCTCCCGGTAAATTTTGATGAATTTCAAATAGCGCCTATGGCCGTACAATGGTAGCTGCGACCATGAAAATCTCAGAATATGTAGTTGTGATATATAATTTCCAAACGGAAATAGCTAATCGGTCGATTTTAGTCAAGAAACATTGTTCCATAGCTAAATTAATATCTTGACCTTGAGAGGGAGCTATACAACATAAAGAGTTTATTATTTAATATTTCATAACTTTAGACTCAATTTCAACCGCGACAACGATCAATGAATATTGTAGGAACGCATATGCTTCCAATATGTTAATTTGAACCAAATTCATGACCCCATACCAAAACTTTGTAGTACCTTTAATTGAAGGTCAAATGTGACATGAAACAATATCTCCGAATCATACTCTATCAAAATATGAAAACAAATTGGGGTCACCTTGCATCCTAAAGAGCTACAATGGATTTTGTATAGGCA